CAATAAACACCTCGGGCAGTTTGGAAGATCTTAAAGACATTGACCAAAGATAAGATGATGTGTTAACTAAGGAAAATATCATGCTGAACGCTGCATGGCATGGATTCCTTAAAGTTCGGTCTTGTGACACCTGTCAGCTCTTTTTCTCTGATCATGTTCTCCAATCTAGGGACAATAGTTCCGCATTTTACACAATATACTTCGATTTCACTAAGGCTTTTAACTGTGTTGACCATGCTTTTCTTCTCTTGGAACTGCCATCTTTCGACATGGATGGCAAAGATTTGAATTTTATATCCTCCTACCTGGGCGCTCGTACACAACGGGTTAACATCTCTAATGCTATCTCCAACCCCACATGTGTGAGGAGTGGAGTCATCCGGGGTAGTGTACTCGGCCCGCTCTTATTTCCCCTTTTTGTCAACGATATACCAGATTTATTCCAGAATGGCAAGCCCTTCATGTATGCCGATGATCTGAAAGTGGCATACAGGTGTAAGCCAGCAGAGCGTGACATCGTGCTCGAGCTTCTAAAGAGCGATCTACAGGCCTTTACCCGGTGGTGCCGCACATGGTGCCTTATTCTTTCTTGGCATAAATGCTCAGTCATGGTGGTTGGCGGCGGCCACCAACCTCAACTAAGTATTGACGGTCACGACATAAATGTGTCTTGGGTTATTAAGGATCTGGGTGTATCATACTCCAAGAGCCTCAATCTTTCGGAGAACTGCGCCCTGATAGTCTCCAAAGCATGCAGAACGATCGGGTTTATCCTCCGAAACTTTAAAACAAGCGATATTAGAATGTGCCTTTATAACATGTACGTTAGACATGGTTTGGAATACCGTTCGTTTTTATTTAGCCTCATGCGCGCTGCTGAGCGGAAGAAAAGAGAATCCGTCCAACTTTTTTTTACCAAGGGAGTTTTAACCCCAGATCACCGGAATTTGTTGTACCATGAACGTTGCCGGCATACAGGCCTTGATCCTTTATGATTTCGTAGATTACAAAAGGAACTATTTTTACTATTTAAGCTTTAATATAATCGCACCTGTAACCCACTCACTATTTTAAAAGATCTTGTCCACCCCCGACGTAACAGTCACCGTTAGGTCTTTTTATTTCTTCCTCTGACACGTACCGTCAAATATCGTCGGTTCATTTCAGCAAATACAATTGTTCTTTGGATTAAACTACACAGGAATTTGAAGACTCGGCAAAATTACCCTTTGTTTAAGAGAACTGCTACTCGATTTTTGCATTCAGAAAAACTCCTACAAATTTTGGGTGTGGAATTCACTAATCGACTATACCGTAGCGATGGCGCTTGTGGTCTCTGACCTCTATGTCCTATCTTATCAGGGACAATTTCTTTAGCCAACAGTAACAGCTGTTCTTCGGCGCTTCCGTATGGACCAGCCCCAACATCATGAAAAATGTTGCCGACTGATAATCTCCGATGAATTGCTACCCCTTCCCTTATTGACTGCGTCATTTCATGGGCAGCATTATTTTTTCTCCTAGGCCCTCCAAACTATAAAAATCCATCATCAACTTTATTTTTATTTTTAGTGTCAGGATTTTTTTCTCACTACTGGCCGGATTTGTGTTTAACCTTAGCTGACAATGCCTGTGAACTGGCATTAAATAAATTATTATTACTACTATTATTATTTTATGTTGTTTTGTTAATGACGTAAATCATCAAATGATATTAAAAATAATTCTGTGGGTAGTAAATACTGGTGCAACGGCTTTTTTGTTGCCCCCCCTCCCCCAGAACAATGCATTAAACGGAGATAAACTATAACTAGACTGAATTTTAATCGCTCACGGAAATCAGTCCGAAACCACTGTCATGCTTACGAAATAACTCCCGAACCTACTCAGATTCACAATGCCTGCGAGCGCGGTACCGGCTGAACAAACTCCCCATTCATGTTATCCCATATTACGGTGTCATTTCTAACTGTGCGTCTCCTTTTAAGTTGCGAGTCGTTTGTGTTAAACCTAACCCGCATGGCCTTGCGTCCTTATGGTTAGGTTTTGTACCACATTAGTAGAAGCGAATTTTCGTTACGCGGCTAAAAAGACTACAGCGTTTCCTTTTTCTAATGTCTTGCGGCGCACTTTGTTACCAAGCAAATAAGAAACTTAAGCGCACTTTCAAATACACTGTCTTGTAAAGCAGACAGCCAAACGTCGGTCGAATAACTGTGGTCCGAGGTAGTGGGTAAGCAGAAGTGTTATGTTCGAGGTCATTAACCAAATGTAGATGTCTGCCCAACAAATGCAAGTATCAACCGTGTAAATGTGGATTTCAGGAGAGTGGTGGTTATATTTCATCCATGCCTAGACTTATATCTCTGTCGATGCCTGACTGTCTTATTGATTCCTGTGAGCTAATACCGTGGTTTGTCGAGCAAGGAAGATTTTTAATCTATGGGTATTTCTATTCTGCATCCAGGTCTTTTTGTGACATTCAGCCCGAAACGTTTCCAATGAGAAAACAGTTTGCGCACTTACAGACTGCAGTCCAAGAGTTTAGATTAACTTGAGTACAAAGATAATCTCAACTAAGAGACCGCCCATTAACTTCTCCATGGCGATATGCCACCCTTTTATTAATTTCTTCCACCAAACTAAAGGTTCTAATCCTTCTCTGATTTCGTAGTAAGAACTTATTTTTTGCCAACGAAGTGGCGTCCCAACCATGTAGTCACTTTAAGTGCTGCCATGAACCTCAAGCTGATATTTAATCCCAAGCAGTTCCACTCTAGCGTTTTACAGTCCTTAGCAACGATAAGAGGCATTGATTAGTTACCGTTAGCAAACGTCTAACAGGGATTTGTCATGACCAGGCTCTGGCTGAACGAAAGGCTTAACGGTAGTACTCTCAACGTGTGTTATCCGACTGAAGCGGAGCGCGCTGACATGGAGGTGCGCGGTTCCGCGTCTGAAAGTTATACTAATTTCAAGTTCACCCATTGGTCAGGCGCATTCTTCTGATGCTCCAGCTCTGTGCGGTACCACGCACCGAAATTTCGGTTTCGGCTGTCTCTTCGGCTTTCTTCCCCGGGCTTCTTGCCAGCACTATCCGACAAAATTACCATAGTGCCCTTTGACTACGAAGAGCTTCCCCAGAAAATGGATCCTGGCCTTTTTGTAGGCTGATTCGTGGTCACTGGTTCCTCCAAGTCAGCAAAGTTCTCCCAAGCGGGTGTGTTTGCGCGAAAGAGAGCAAGTGTTACAAAAACTTAGAATACGATAGGTATCCGTCGCCTTTCTGCTGTCTGTTGTTTTCAGTTTCCCACAGACTGGTAATATGTTCCTTCCTCCATTGTGAACATAATGTCTGGGAAGAACAAGCGCAGCTGTTACATAAATTCCCCAATCCTTTCATAATAGATTTTGACAAATGTGTCATCAAAATACCATGCCCACAGTAGTAATCAATGGTGGTCAAGGGCCAGTGCCTCTCTTCGATGTAACACTGCCTCAGAAATCAAACTTCATAGCGGCGACCCCATCGGCGCACCCTCGACTTGTTCGTGCACAGCTCCATAGAACGTAAAGGAGGTCACCGAGCAGGTGGGTGGCGCGCAGTTGTTCTGCGATAGGTGTGCAGCTACGCTACTACCATGGCACATTTCATGCATTTTCAGCACAAATAATGTTTGCTGCGGCCTGGTTGGCCTCGACTTGACCCATCGCATCTTCAGAGAGGGTTGCTGGAAGAGTACCTGACTACAAACACACGCCTAAAGATCATTTATTATATCACCGTACGGCGTAATTATGCACACAATCGAAGTGCTTGTGTTGCCCAAATCAGCAGGATACCCGCAACGCTAGTTAGACCAGAACTGCCACGGATGAACTGTTTCTTAATAAAATTCTTGTCACAATGATAAAACACACATGGGGAAAAGGAGTAATAACGGCACAAGGCAGCTCTTCTCATCCATAGCAATGCTTTTGGTTCGGTAATTCGTCGTTCGCATTAATTAATTTTATTTCCGTGGGCTCACCTGAAACTTATCTTTTGTGACTACTCACTTTTAACCTTTCTCGGTACACTGCTTTTGGGCCAAGGTTATTTCTTTGCAACACGAATGGCGGAACTAGAGGCATTTGTGATAAGCGCCTGCAGCCGCCAAACTCATAAAGCACATAGACTAGACACATAATAATTTATACAGTGGCTGACGTAACGCCCAAGATGCGCTTAAATGTAGGAGAATTTTCTCATCACACGGGAACCGGTCTAAATGCATGAATTTAAACGCTTCTTAATACTGAACGACATTAACCGAAGGAAAAACATAAAATAAACACTGGACGTAATACTGTGTTCGTTCGGAAACGGGAAATGTCAGAAACGATAGAACTCGAGTCAATTGCGCAAACTAAAGACTAGGAAGTATTCTAAATCGGCCCATACAAAGAATTGGGTTCGTAAAATGAAACATATAGGACAACGTGCAAAATTCTTCGCTCATGCAGTGCACGGTTCGATGTTCTCTAAGGATTGATGAGGATGACATGTGCCTTTTAGCCAGGTACCAGTCGTTTGGATTGAGAGCATAAAAGCGCTATAAATGAATCTGTTGGCACCTATCTGCCTTTGGACGGTCGGCATACCATAAGCCTGCAATTGAAAATGTTTAGTAATTTGCAATAACGAGAACAGCAAGCAAGCCGCGTTTGCAAACTTCTTTTTGTCTTCACAAAACCAGTCAAATGTTGGACAAGGAATGAAGAGTCACAATAACACTTAACTACTTGTCAGAGCGTTTTTCCAAGTAGTTATTTGCAAGGTTGGCATTTTCCTTTCTCAGCTCATGGATTTATTACTGCTCCCGTGTTAATCAGATAACACCCCATTTTTAATGAACTCATAACATAGGCGCAATTTTCGACTGACGTGAAAACTTTTATGTCTGCAGATGGATTAAAGTCGCATTGTTTGGTGGTTTGAATCATAATTTACTCCAAAAATGGGACCTTTATTACGTCTTGGAATTTCTCTTTTTGTTTTCGTCCTGATTTGCGCCGTTGCTAAGAAATGCGACAGGAAATTCGATCTCCATCTAGAGAAAATTATTCTTTCTGAATCTTCGGAGCAGAACGGCGCCGTGTTTTTGAAAAAGATCACTGCTCAGTCTCCCGAAAGTTGCTACACAACATGCTGTGAAATTGATCGGTGCACCGTTGCTGTCTACACGCCTAAGGTGTGATTTTTCTCCTTTGCCCACCCTTTTAGTTTTTGCATGTTCCCGTTAACTTCTTATCAGATTCTTTGACATTATGTGACACTTTTCAGACCAATAATACCTGACCTGCATTTTATATCCGTCAGGGTTTTATCTTCCAACTTCGTTTTCTGTTGGCTTTGCCTGAACTTATTATACGTATTCGCGCCCTTTAAGTTAAGTAACTGGTCACATGAGGGGATTAATGCTGTCAAACAGAAAATAGGTAGCCAACTAAACAACTGTCTGTGTGCAATATTAAGTGACATTTGCTGCCATGAACGTATGACTTAACGACAGAGTACATGACCCCATTATGCACCATTGATCTACAACCCCCCTCCCCCCACAATGGAGTCAAGATGCCTGTTTAACAATATAATTGTTCCGGCTGCTGCCTTACTGCCGGTAACGGCCTGAAATAGGTCATCATTCTCACACGCGCCTGCGCAAGTGGAACAGTCTGCCCGTGCACCGTCTAAAATCTCATATTATGATACACAAACGTTATGGTGGTCCACATAATCTATCGACCAGACTGTCTTATGTGTTTGAGTGCGATCGCTGGTGTCCGCTTCTGATGTAGTAAAGAATATATAGTCAGATAGGGTTTTATAGGGAGTCAACGCACCGATTCCCCAGAATTTGCATTTTACGAAATTAGAATATCACAAATGAAATGCGAAAATCACACAAATGGATTAGTAGTTCAGATGCAATCAAGCAGACATATGCGATGGTAGAGGGACGCAGACAGATTGTTCTTACGGAACTCATTTGTTCCGTTGTGCCTTACGGGCTCTCACGGGCCCAACCAGCAGCCGCACAGCGGCGCGTGATATAGGCAGAATGTTATTACCGACAAAGACAGGGGAGACTGGAATGGCCATTTCTGGCTTATTAGCTGCCGTCAGCCAGTCATACCAAACCCCGAAGCAACCGACAGGATAACCAGCCCGTGGCTCTGTGGTTAGAGGTGTTGGACTTCTAACTAGTAGGTCGGGTGGTCGAGCCCCAGGTGTTCCACACTTCGGGGTTGGGTATGACTGGCTGACGACGGCTAATAAGCCAGAAGTGGCCATTCCAGTCTCCCTTGTCTCTGTCGGTAACAACATTCTGCAGATTGATACAATATTCGAACGTTTGATTCAATGCAGCCCTCGAAACATTGCTTAGGGGGCTTTTTTTATCTACACCATTAGGAACTTTTGAGTATTTTTCGGGAATACTATAGTGAGGCTAAACTAAGAAGAGGCGTTCGCCGGGAGGGGTTTATTGGAGGTCCGACGTTGCGAGTAGTTGATTCGTCTACTCATCTTCAGAGACGAGAAAGTCCTGCGCACAGCCTCCTTTATATGCGCACTTTGTTCAATGCGTCACACACTAATACCTCCCGCTGAGCCCCTCTTCTTCTTATATGCTACCTGGGATTTGCATTTTCACTACTATTGATGAGGTTAAACTTCCTAAGCCAGTAGCAGACTCTGTTGACGGAATGGCTTTGAGACTGAACGCCATTCGCAAATGCGTTTCTAATTCAAACTTTGCTTTGCTTAGGAGAAGCAAGGGTTTTTACACCTTTACTATGAGTTTTTTTGATTAATCGAAGTGCTCACTCTTGCCGGATATTCTTATCTATAAACATGATCTTGAGTATGACCAAAACCTTTAACGTCATTCTAAACTGATAGGAGTCTGTTGAGAAGCGTTTTTGACTGCTTTTTGATGCCAATAAAGTGAAACAATACCCCGAACATAGAAGTCAAGGACACTACGAATCGAAAACTCGATGACGAAAGGCATCGAACGTTTGTGCAAATAGTCACGTTTCTTAGAAATCCCCTAGTGAACCTTACTAAGTTTCGAACACCACCACAGTCGCCGACTTTTTCTCAGCTTCCTATGTATGACAATTTTTAAGATCTTATTGGGATCCCAGAAGATTGTCTCGACGTCATCATCGCCATCACTTCTGTCGATGATCTTAACAATTATGAGAATGCCCGAAAGTCCTGACAGTCCTTTAATGGGCCGATCCGAAACGGAGCTTATTATTCCTTGGTATTAAAGAAAGGGACGTTAACGTACACGTAGACAGAAGTTTCGAGAAGACCGCTTGCATTATTTTTGGGATCCCACTTGATTGCAAGCGTAATACGTGCCGGTCAGATTCAATTGGTGGGGTTTCTGTTTTAAAAACTGTCCGGTTGGCATAAAATCATCCTGCGCGTTAGGCCGTTCACACGAAAGTTCCGAGGAAACAACGTAATATGTGGGGTGACAGTCGCATCAGTGTTTTTCACGTAGTTGTTGTTGCGTTCGCCAGGTATATTTATGCACTGGTTGTTTTTTGCGTTAGGGAATTCGAGAAATATCATGTTGTGTCGAGTCTGCTAAGATAGTGACTGCTTATGACTTCTAAGGGCGTCGGTCTAGGCCTCCGTTTTTTTTGCCAATCTCATTTTTCATTTATAAGCGGATGCTAGTAAATTTATCCGATACTTTCGCTGGAGCTTGTAAGCTTATTTTGCCTAGTTCTTCCGCAATAGACACTTTGCTTGTCTGATTCACGTTCACACGAAAATATCTGCAGTAAAGACATGGCAAGTGAAAGAGTTTGGAATAGCAGTAAGAAGTAACATGTGTGCAAACCGTCCTTGTTTTTGAATCGTCGAGGCCTAATAGATGTGGAGGCAAGGGAGGTGGGCGTCAAAGTATCATGATACCCGAAGTTTAACAGAAGATATGGCATAAATCTCGTGGGGTCGGATGGGCTTTTGACTGACCTTTGACCAGAGTGCGCGGATATGTCTCATTGTGGAAATTTGGACAAAATACTGCGTGTTCTCTGCAAATCTTACTAGCTCTAGACACAGATTACCAAAAGAATGATGCAGACCGACGACCGATGACGCAATCTACGTTTCAGTTAATTGGAGAGGATTTCGACACTGGTGAACTGACAGCCTGAAGACGCATCACAGGTTTTTGGCCAGTAGAGTATTTTCAGATCGACATAATCCTTGGCAGAATAACTAAGACATTGTCACTCATTTCTGCAAAATAGCACCTTGGAGCCTGTAAGGGGCACTTTATCAGAGGCATAGCTTGACGTTTACGCCATAAGCCAAGTTAAATCCTAAAGTAGGAGTAGCCTCTTCCCGGCCGAATAATTACCCATTCCGGGGATTTGAAGTGAGAAATTTGTCCTAAGAGAACTCCCATAAAATGACGTTAGTAACAGAATTTGCATTTGTAAACGCAGGCCACGTTTTTTAGATCCGTCCAGGCAAGCCGAGCCGGAACGTTGAAGGCACATCACCATGCAAAATGTTCAAAGTCAGCGTAGGGGATAACAGATATGTTTTAAGGGCAGCAGGTTCGGAGACACCAGAGCAGACAGAAGGATTGGATGTTTGAGGACTGTTGTCTAAACCACCACGCCCCGCATTCTCTTCAAGCTTGCCCAAGGTGGACAAAGGTGCCGAGCTATCAAGCCAGTATAACGTGGGATTTTGTCCTGCCTTGTCAGGTGACGCCGGTAAACTGTCCTGGCAGGCACGATACAAACGGACTACAGTTTCCCAGATATTCTGAAATCTGTTCGATGAGGAGCTAAGCCGATTTCTCCCACGTTGTTGATTAGACTCGAGGTTGCCTTTTCGCAAATATAATTTAAGAGCGACTAAGATATAGCATGCTGTGGACGATATCAGGTTGCTAACATGAGTTTTACTCTGACCGGTTCAAACCGCAGGTTATCCTCCAATGCAGTTGCGGCTTTTTGTTGGGGGGGGGGGGCGGGGAACAAGGGCAATCTTCGGGCTGTCTCTTTCTGATCAATTTTCGCATTTTAAGGCGATGTAAGCTAGAAAAACTGCACTTCAGTGAACCAGAAACGTGGTTTGTTAGCTCATATCCCGGTTGTGTAATGCTATCACCTTCGCATTTGGTGGGCGAGTGCGTCATTCATCTGAGATATACGGTGAGGGACCAATCTTGTGAAATGCTTTTTCGACTAGGAAGGATTGCCTAGGTATTGATTATCGTACAGCACAACCCAATGATATCTCGATCGCACCGGATGCCGGCCTTTGAATACACTTTTTGGCCGTCTGCAAAAATCTCACATGGTAAAAATGACCACTTAAGTAGTGCGAATTTTTCCATTGATTTTCAATTGCGTCTTATATAAAACATAATAAAAATAGTTTTCTTACACGCACTTAGTAAGAAAACACGTTTCCTTCAAATTTTGTACTCCAGAGAAAGTTAAATTTCGGTTTTAAAATGGTTCTCTATTCCCGCATAATTTCGAGCCCGATCTGCCGTTACATTTGGGTTTAGGAATGACAGTTTTCGAGCTATATACCTTCGCTCTAAGGAAAGTAATATATCCCTCTACCATTATGACGATTTTCTATATTGCCTATAAAGCGATTCACTGGATGTGGAATACCTTACTTACTGCCTAAAGAGCATCAATAAATGGACAGATACTATGCTATTTGATCGGACGTTTCAGGATTTTTAGAAAATCCCATAATTACAAAATTTTTGGAACTGTAGATCCCCTTTCTTCGACTGTACATTTTTAAGAAGACCTAGTTTACTCCGAAATGAGTACAAGAGATCATATTCTCGAATAATTTTTCCTTAAAATAGACCTCCATTTATGAGGACATTGATCATGAATGAAAAAGACTTTCAAACTAGTTAAGTAGTTATTTTTTACCGAGTGAGTGCGACTTAAGAGAAGTACATTCAAACGCCGGCGTCCTGGCTTGAGTGGAATATCCTGGGATTATGCTGCGTTATAATCAGCATTATAACTTCCACCTAATTAGTACTTTCTAATTGTAAAGGCAATGCAGAATTTTGTCTAACACTTTGCAGGACTGGTCACTGAATGTACAGTTTTTAAAAAAAGTTTCTTATTGTGAGATTTTCTAATACCGTTAAATGGCCGTCCAGGAAACGTCATGTATCTGCATTTACGAATGTGGCTTGTAAAGTTAACATATTGCATGCATTTCTCTACGGTTTTAAGAGGAGACCATATGAGGTTCATAAAATTAAGCAGTGGATTTGCGCAATATTGTTAACTTTACAAGCCACATTCGTAAATGCAGATACATGACGTTTCATGAACGGCCATTTAACGGTATTAAAAAATCTCACAATTAGAAACTTTTTTAAAACCGAATTATACTCTTCTTTTGAGTATGAAATTGGAAGAATACGTGATTTTCTACCGAATAAGTAAAAGAATGAATATTTTATTGCATGTTTTCCATGAAACATAATTTAATTTTCAAGGACATCAAAAATCAATTAGAAAATTGCATACTACTTAAGTAGCCATTTTTTGCAGAGTATAGATCTTGCATGCAGCCGAAAATAAGTTCTTTTGAAAGCCGACACTCTGAGGTAACTGGATCATTATACATTTATGCTGCATCATGATTAGTTTTACAACGCTACTTAATTTATCTTTTCGAAACGAGAACTCATTTCGAAATTTTGGTTGACATTTCATGAGTTAGCACATCTACTGTAGTATTGAGCACCCATATTTGTCCGTACTGAGGACTTCTTTTCACCGAATGTGCGGACGAATGCAGGGCGTGTTTTCAACTTTGTTACTTTTGCTCCCAATAAATGGGTGAAAGGAGGACAGGGTGTAACCTCAAAAACTCGAGCTGACCGCGGGTGTAGACCTACCTACTCGGGCCGACTGCCAAGTTCTGCTCCTGAAGTCAGATTTGTCCGAGTAAAATTTTAGCTCCACTGATACTCCGAATGCTTTACTCCTCCTTGCTTCGTCCTCCAGCGGAAAAAGTAACAATTTCTACCAACTTTCGCGTGCCCCTGTATATGAAAAAGGACGCTCGATGCTGGAGGCTCTTTGTTTCCTCCTGTCCTATTTACTTAGTACCCCAGTTTGGCTATTCGAAACCTAATTTGCCTGCAGTCCACAGAGTGTCCCAGTTGCTGATATGGTCGGGGCTGTTCCTGAAAGCCGTGGTGGCATTTCGCTGCAGCTGTTTGCGCAGCTCTGGTTTTTTCCCGACGGCTTATGCTCTGTTTTATGCACAAAGCCCGGTTTGTTTGGCCATCACCGTGAGAAGGCTACTCCTCCAACTGCGTAGATCCCACAATGTCGCAGCGGCCCTGATGTCCGGTTTGATGAGACAATGGATCTTCCACTGTCGCCAGTTTGTCGGCCAAATAATAACCGCAGAACAATTCTGGTTTTAGGAAGAGGGGGTCGCTAGCAGACTTTTTTTGTAGACTCTAGCCGCCGCGACGCCACGTTTGCGTTTCAACCGAAAACACTCCAAGTTATTGTGTTTTTCTGACCAAGCAGCACTGTCTGTTTAAATTTGTCCCTCTAAAGTGCATTCACATTACTGCCTCCCAATTCCCGTTGTTGCTGCTTAGTGGTCAAGTTTAGAGACAATGCTGCAGGGTATCTTGTAGGAGTCCTTCGGGGTTATAAAAATGTCGATATCTGCTTCCCATCTGTCGACTGCTATCCACACAGAAACCCGCTTGCAAGAGTTCAGCCAGTGGGAAACGAAGACGATCCCAGAGTCCATAGTTGCATGGTGGAGACGTTACAGATGCAAGCAGCCCAGTCATTAGAGGTGTTTTTGGTATCATGCGGCACAACGGTTCGATCAGGGGGCATTCTCTCTTCTGTCCTCGTTGTCTGAACCCGTGTCAGGGCTCTACGCCTTTTAGACGAGAGGCGAAACGAAAAGGGTTCAAGTACCGGCATCGAGTTGACTGACGAAAATAAACAAGCACAGTAGGTAGCGTAACACATGAAACACCAATCGAAATTCTTAAATGTGGTTTTGATGAGAATAAATCAGTAGGGTGGGTTTGCAGCGCTTATCATCATGCGAAGATGCTTCAGTCACGACGGGATGTCAGCTTTTGAATTCGCGTCTTTCGGGTCACCTGCAGAAATCACACTCCCCATACATTACTACTTTAGTGGCATGCATATTTTCCACGGATATTCGATACTCTCATTAATTTGAGCTTATTTTATAAAAAAACACCCACAAAACATCTTTTCTTGCACGTATTTTTTCACAGAATTGTGTCTTCAAACTTTATGCTCGAAGGAAGGGCGTTTTTCAGTCTTAGAAGCGTTTTTATATTCCCGTTTTATGCTTCATACGAAGAACTACTGGACGGTCAGGTACGATGCTATCTAAATGGAAATGTCGCTGCACCAAAAACATCATAAAACCTTTTAAGTCGACACCTACCGTTCATCAAGGCAAAAATGTGAAGACTTAAATTACTCCGAAATGAGTACCAGGCAGGACGTTCTTTATGAGTGCTTTCTAGAAAACATGTTTTAATTTCCAAGGGCACTGATATCAATGGAAAAATCATACTACTTATGTAGTCATTTTTAGCGAGTGTCATTATCACAGATGACCGGAGAGGTGCGCATTCAGAACCGTCATCGTGGCATGGTGCGCATTTTGGAATTATGCTGCGTGATAATCAATATTACAACACCACTTAGATAAATCTTTCTAACCGATTTAACATTCCTGAATTTCAGTGAACGCCTCCTGAGTCATGTCGCCTACCGCATTTATATTTCCCTCGTTGCCCTGAGACAATAAACCGAGTCGATGTTGGGACGCCATTTTTTCCAGGTTTATCTAACGACATCATAACTATACTCCTGACTCATTGCTATCATCTGTTAGCTTGCGGTGGAGGTTCTCGCCTAACGGCCTGAAGAGCTTTTGTCTCGAGATGGATACTGTTTGCAGGCAGTTTCCACGGTTCTGACGTTATATCACAGTCCCCAGAAGGATCCGCTCGTTGCAAGCACAGATCCGCCCAGCGAAACCACACCCATTCCGGCCACCCAAGAAGAAGGACTGGAGCGCTTGAAACAAGTTTTTTTGTCTCACGCTCCGTGACTCTAGTGCTGCTGTCCTAAGCCTATAATCGCTGTCTCACTAAAGGTGACAAAATGAATGTCGGCCTAAAAACTTTCTGAACGCAGTCCGTCAGGACACAGAGGTGCTTTTTGGGCATATAGGCATAGACTAGACTATGGCCAGTAAACTCAAGTAGCCGGGTTTGTGGTAGTTCGGCTGTCAAGGACAATTACATCCGTCCTTATCCCACCAGTTTGGACCGGCGACAGTGAAGCAGACTTTCACTGCATCTACCTCCCCCCACATCCCACCGTGCTCCGATGGTGAAGGGCACGCAGGCCACAGTCACAGCCCCAGTGCAGACAGTCACTGCCACAATGACCAGCAGGGACTTCGAGGCCGCATTGTGGTAGAGAAAGCAGGACCAGTGCAGCACACTGCATCTCCCATGGAGCTGCAAGGGAGCCCAGACACCCAGTCTAGCATCGTGCCAGTGGAAACTTCTAATCGCGAGGCACAAGCCAGCCCAGAGACGCTGACACAGACCACCAGCAGCTACACTCTGCAGGTCATGCCAAAGCCTACATCTTTAAGCCTGACATCCACTGAAGTACAATCGGAAGGCATGCCTGCCAAACACGAAGAGATCACGTTCCAGCTACCAGAGTCGGCCAAGACGTCCGCCCTCCTCTCCGGTGTGGCATTGCGTCCACAGGCGACACACATCGCCACCATGACGCCCATTGCAGTGGAAAGTACCCAAAATAAAGTTATCACCGAGCTCAAATACCAGACTGTGCATACCGAACCCAGCGTTAAGATGGCCGGAGATGGACAGGGATGCAGTGACTGACAGAACTAAGTAGCTTGCCGCGCACGACCTCCCTGTTCCGTATTTTCTAGGTTCGTTTGTTGGGGGTATCGAAGTTCACACGTGTGAGAGCTTCATATGGGTCATGTTGAGGAGGAGTTATTGTTGCAGCCTGATGTTCAGTCCTGAGAGCGATCGAGTTACCGGGTGTGTGTGTTTGCATCATTTGAATTCTTGACTGATATCGCGTCTAGCGCATCACATTTATTATAGTGGGGAGTGCGCTGATGTGTCTTGAGCAGGGGTTCCTCAATGTCGGCTTAGTTTTCCCTTCCCTATTCCATACACAACAGGCTTGTCTGAGTTAAAAGGACTGCGAATGTAGTCGATACACAATGACCGACTAGAGTAAGCAGCCCGTCTGCGCGTGCCACGTACGGTTCGACCACATCCCACATGTACCAGGCCGCACCAAATGACATCCATCCCACTTAGGTCAGATGTGCATGTGTAACGTTACGCCTGCCATACCCGCGCTGTGAAAGTGAGTCGCATGCACGCTGCAGCAGTGCGGGAGGGCTTGGCTGCTTGCGTCGTTGTTCCGCAACGCATGAGTCCTGCGTACCACTCCTTTCGCCTTGGCCGCTGCTACGATTTACAGTAGGTGGGCTAACTCATGAAATGTCAACCGAGATTCCGAAACGCGTTTCCCTTTCGAAAAGATTAATTAAGTAGTGTTCTAAAAATAATCAGCCTGTAATATAATTATATAATATTTCACTTACCTCAGGATGTCGGCTTTCGAATGAACTTCCTTCCGACTGCATGCGAAAACCATACTCTGTAAAAAATGGCTACTTAAGTAGCATGAATTTTTCTCACAGATTTTCGATGCTCCAAAAAGTCCTATTATATTTCATGGAAAACATGCATAACAATATCCATTCTTTTGCTCATTCAGTAGATAATTACGTCTTCTTCCAATTCTGTACTCGATGAAATTGTTTGATTTGGTTTTAAAAAAAGTTTCTAATTGTGGGACTTTTTTAATATCGTGAAATGTCCGTTCATAAATCGTCATGCCTCTGCATTTACCAATGTGCCTCGTAAAGTTAACAATATGGATCAAATCCACTGCTAAATTTGATGAACCCTATATGGTCCCCTTTAGTACCGTAGAGAAATTTGGGGTTTTCCGTATGCAGAAAATATAGGGCTTGTAGTTTGGAAACCCTGAATCCACGTGTAACGGTAGAGCGGGTTCAAAAATAGTCGGGAATTGGAAAAGTTTTTGAAAACCAAATTCTATCCTTTCTTCGAGTACGAGATTGCAAGAAGACGTAATTTTATATCGAATGAGCAAAAGAGTGAATAGTTTTATCCATGTTTTCCATGAAATATAATTGGACATTTAGGGCATCGAAAATCAATGAGAAAAATGCATGCTACTTATGCAGTCATTTATTACTGTGTATAGCTTTTGCATGCAGCCGGAAAGAACTGCCTTCGAAAGCGGGCATCCTGATGTAACTGAGTTGTTATAGAATTGTGCTGCACGCTGATTAGTTTTACAACCCTATTTAATAAATCTTTTCGAAGCAAAAACGCATTTCAGAATTTCGGTTGGCATTTCATGAGTTAGCCCTCCTGCTGTATGCCTTAGTGTTTGGCTTGTCGGGAGTCATTGTCGGCAATTGTCTGACTTTTCATACGGGGTCATTGAGGTAAGTTGGTTTTTTTCTGGTTTTTTTCAATGTTGTTTGAACGAACTAGGGTTTCGGGTGCGTCCCCGTCATATGCTCGCATCCACCAGACCCGCGGTCTCTCCAGTTCTTGCTGGACACTGTCGTCCGCCCTGTACGCTTGAAAAATAATATTGTACGGCTACCCCTGTGCTGCTAACAGGTGCCGAATGTAATGACATGCGGTTAATTCCTCGTTTTCTTTGCTGCGGTGTGTTTTCACCCTTTTGGAGACTTTTCTACTAGGGAGAAGGACTGTTTGCGTGTTGGTTATCACCCCCCACATATTCCGTTATCTTCAAGACTTGTCCTTTCTCGGCAATTTAACTGATTTTTCCTTTCACTTGCTTCCGTTTGAACTGGATTCTGGAGTGTGCGTGTGTGTGTGTGTTCACTTCCGGCATCAGACATCTGACCGGCTTGAACGGCTGACTGGCGCCTGGGAGTGAGAGGAGAAAGTGAGCTTAACGCATTTCCCTCTGGCGCGCACTTAAGACCACCACGTTGCGCTAAAAGCCATGGCATGGAAGGCTGCAAACTGACGCGTCAACTCTGACCATGCAGTCAACCCTGTTGTTTGCTTGTGTATTGAGTGGCCGAATGGTGGACTGAGAGTCTGACTGCAGTGGCTCCGTCTTAATGACCCACCTACGCATGTGAGATCCCAGCCTACCGTCCCCTTTTGTATTTAATCCCAGTGTGTGCTTTTTGAGGAGGGGGGGGGGTATGCAGACGAGCTCCAGCTCTGTGAGCTAGTACGCCTGCTTCCTACAACAGACATCTGACCAGCTCTGACGGTAGACTGGTGCCCGGGGAGTGGGAAGAGAGAGGCCCAGGCTCTCAGCTTGCGACTCACGGTGCGCTAGAAGCCTAGGCTTGAAAGGCCACCAACTGACGGGAGAACTCGCACCGCGTAGTCAGACCAGTCTGTGTGTTTGCGTGAAGTAGCGGACTGGTGGACTGACAGTCAGGCTGCAATGGCTCCTTCTTAATGTGGCCTTCTATGGCCACGAGTGGTGACACGACTAGGGGCGACTCCGGCCGCGCCAGCCACCTGGCCCCTCTCCCGCCTCCAGTCTTCTCGATCCTGCCTTGACACCGGGTGGAGGTGGGGGAGGGGAGAGTGCAGTGGATGCTGTGCAAGTCCACTATCACTATAAACGAAATAGCGCGCAAGTCACCGCGCCTGTTCTCGCTCTGTTGCGGAGCACACGATAGGCATCGTCGAAATGGACGGTCGAACTGTCAGTGCCAGTGGATCCGGCGACAGCTGTAGTCGTGGCCGTCATCAGAATCAGCAGCAGCAGCATCAGCTTTACGTTCCTAAGAAAGCCATCAGGTCGAGAAGGTTATCCGTTCTGTCTACAGATATTCCCCCTTATCATATCTTCTAAGCTACCAAAATTTCTTAAGACGAACATACTATTAGGCGATCGGTTTAGGGACAGTTTCCTTGTGTGTGTGTTGTCGCGACCACAGTGAGTATGCAGTGTGCGATTTCACTGACACCCACGTTTTTCATTAGAAGGAGAGAACATTGGGCATCCAGTGTCTCATGCGGTTCAGGAGACACCAAACCTCCTTCCGCGCAGCCTTCATTCACGCGTCGGCTGGTCTTTTTCATGTTTTTTTTTATTTTAACCGCATTTCTTTCTCGTTTGCGTCAACATGTTGCGTCATCTGTAGTGGTCAGGGATGGTGACCGGTCGCTAGGTCGGCCGGCGAATGGTCGATGCGAGACCGTCTTACTTCGAGGGGTCTTGCTTCCACTTATGATTTCTCATGTGTCTTTCCTTTAAGCGGGGAAAGGAGTGCTACCTTTTCAACTGCGGTGACCCAAATATCTGCAATTTCACCTCGCACGCCGACTACACGGTCTTTATGCTGCAACAACCGAAACAGCATCCGGCGCGGACAAGCGAGCCTCCCACGACCGCCCTTGTCACGGCCGCTGACTCTCGACAGAAGGGTTGGTTCCCTTTGTTTCCTTCCTCCCTCCCTCCCTCCCCGTCCCGCCACGCCCCTCTCCTCCCACTTATCTGGGCGCATTTTTGTTTGAATCAGACGTCGATCCCACAGTTCCGTCCTTGCCGTACACATTGCACTCTCCTTGAGATAACCATACTAAGGGCCTTTTAAGTAGTCTGTCGTAAAGTACTTGTCAGGAAGGAATTGGCGACAGGACCATTGATTCGGTTGCCATCTACGGCCAATAACGAGGCCGAGGGTGTTTGTTTTCCCAAGGTCCCTAAATTGGCTGGTTCCCCCTAGGTACTGTCAGAACCAGAGCGTATGGTGGAGGGACGCTCACCGATCGTTCTTACGGAACTCACACGTTCCGTTGTGTCCTACGGGCTCTCTCGCGAGCCCAATCAGCAGGCGCGCAGCGACGCATGATATAGGCAGAAGGGCATTACCGACAAAGACACGGGAGACAGGAATGGCCATTTCTGCCTTATTAGCCGTCGTCAGCCAGTCATACCCAACCCCGAAGTGTGGAACACCTGGGGCTCGAACTTGTTACCTGTAGTTAGGAGTCCAAAGCCTCTAAACACTGGGCCACGAACCCGTTGTCCTGTCGGTTTCGATCGAGAATATACAATGGTGGAGGGCGCTCACCGATCGTTCCGTTGTATACTCCCGATCAAAACCAACAGGACAACGAGCCCGTGGCTCAGTGATTAGAGGCTTTGGACTTCTAACCGACAGGTCGCGGGGTCGAACCCCAGGTGTTTCACACTGCTGAGTTCGGTATGACTGGCTGACGACGGCTATTAAGCCAGAAATAGCCATTTCAGTCTTCTGTGTCTTTGTCGGTAATAGAATCCTACCAGAGCGTATTTTGGAGCCTGACCAACAGCTTGAAAACGTAGGTAAGGATTAAGTTGGATGCCCTTAAAAGTGCAATTATATTTCATGAAATAAATGCATAAAAATATTCATTCTCTTGCTCACTCGGTATAAAATCACGTCTTCTTCCAATTTTATATTCGAAGGAAGAGTATAATTCGGTTTTAAAAAATTATTTCCTAATCCCCGAATAATTCTGAACCAGACCTGCCGTTATACTTGCATTCAGGGTTTCAAAACTACAAGGCGTATATTTTCCGTGTACGGAAAACCATACATTTCTCTACGGTATTAAAAGGAGACCATATGGGGTTCATAAAATTATGCAGTGAATTTGAGTTATATTGTTAGCTTTACAAGCCACGCTGGTAAATGCAGACACATGACGTTTTATGATCGGCCGTTTCACGGTATTAAAAAATCGCACAATTAGAAACTATTTTGAAACCGAATTATACCCATCTTTCGGGTATAAAATTGCAAGAAGACGTAATTTTTGCCGAATAAGCAAGCGAATGAATACTGTTATGCATGTTTTCCATGAAGTATAATTGAATTTATAAGGGCATTGAAAATCAATGAGAAAATTGCATGCTACTCAAGTAGTCATTTTTTGCAGAGCATAGATCTTGCATGCAGTCGAAAATACGTTCTTTCGAATGAACGCGCCCCGAGGTAACTGGATTATTATAGAATTATGCTGGACGATGATTATTGTTACAACCGTGCTTAATTAATCTTTTCGGAAGGAAAACGCATTTCGAAATTTCGGCCGACTTTTCATGAGTTAGCTCACCTACAGTACGTCCAACAAGCTCACAGCCTCAGTACCAAGCGTGGAGCTGTGTCGTATCTGTCTTGATGCTTTTATTCCGCTGTGTGTAAATTGAGACACCTTTAAGTGAACGTTCCCTTGTCTGCTTATTAGGCACGCTGCACGGACGCTGTGGACCCGCCGTCCCCTGTACCGATGAGAATACCATCTGTGACTCTGGTTTATGCATCTGCCAGGCCGGCTGGATTGAGAAGATGCATACGTGTGGTAGGTATTTACTTTTAACCCCAAATACTGGTCAACTGTTGGCAGGAAGTTTTGTGTCAGCTGCGACTCAGTCGAATTCATGCTCGTAAAAAGGTGGTAATTGACTCCTTGTAAGCGACGGGTTCCAACATTGGCTGTGGGTCCTTGTGATGACTTGCACGTTGATTGGTTTTTTGGGGGTCGGAGACCCCTGCCGGATCTATATCACACACCCAACCGCTATCGTCCTGCGCATATGTAGCGCGGCACGCTGTGGGAGAAAAACAATGCGTGTCTCGGAAGCAAGAAGGCACTCATTATTGCCGATGTGTGAAAACAACATTGCATAACTGGTCTGCTAGGGAAGGGTGGCGTTTTGATTATTTGGTAAGGATCGGGTGAAGGTCCCCAAGCATCTGTGACATACAAAGAATACATACTAGTACTTATTTAAGTGGAGTTAGGTCCGACACGACTACTTCGGTTTGATGTTTCGTCGTACAAGGTTGGGTCGTCTGTTGTAGACGGTCGGGTGCGTTATCTACAATGAAATAAGCTATGAGAGTTGAGAAGCAATCGTTTTAGACAGTCTGGTGCATTGTCTGCAATCACCTCAGCTCAGAGATTTGAGAAGCGATCGTTGTAGACACCTAATTTTTATTTTTCTGATTGTTCTGCATAATTTTGGTTGCTATATGTCAGTGCATTAAAACTTTTGCGCACGAAAGACGAATTTACCAATTATCTATACTTATTTTGCCATTACTCTATGCATGCATAGACCCCGCCCGTAAAACCCTTATCACCGCCTTCCCCGTAAAACAGGTGCCTTTGGCTGGTCATGTATGTTTGGGGGCCTTCACCCGATCGTTGCGGATTATTTTCCTGTATTTGCCCCCCGCGATGGGCCATGCGGCATTTGCGCTGAACCAACACGCGAGCCAGGTCAGGGCACGGCATGTGTTGTTTTGGCTGTGCACGCATAACAAACGCAGCACATCGGGTGGGGTGCGCGTTGGTACGCCTAGACGCAGATTCGCGCCGCGCCAGTCATCTGAACCCAGTGCTCGCATGAGATGATCGACCTGTTCGCACAATGGACTGGAGAGGGAAGAGCCAGTGAGGACCACGTCTGCGTGGCACTCAGCGCGTATTCCTCACCATAAACGATTTGACGCGCTGTTAACTTATCGCGGGTCGCAAAAAGCCGTGACTTACAGGGATGCCAGCTAACGGTATAACTCGGTCCTCTAAGGACGGAGAGTTAGACTGTAAAGCCTCCTCAATATGGCCGCTATGGCACTCTCACCTAGTTGGGATGTGCGCCGCCCTGCTGGTTTCTGTAGAATCCTGATCGTTTTTTGCGCGGATTAGGCGTGTGGGGCACGCGCACTGCGCCCGATCCCGCCTCCGGTCTCCTTGTCTCTGTTTTGACACCGGGTTCAGGTAGGTAAGGGGGGAGAGTGCGGTGGATGCAGTGCAAGTCTACCATCATTATTAACTGATTCACGTGTATGTCATCACCCGCCATGTTGCACGGTACATGATGGACATCGTTATTCTCGACGGTAGTACTGTGAATGTCATTTTTCCGTATACACACGTAGCCAAATAGGTCCGACAAGGACCTGTACACTGAACTGACCATTTCTGGCCCATTTATCGTTGTCAAACACGCCAGCGTGCTAGACTAATTCGGTTAAAAGCTGAGGCGTGCAGTCTGGGCTGTAACACGGCTAACTGATGACGACAAATGAGCCAGAAATGAGCACACCACTGCCACAGTCGGCAAAACCACTTGGTGTCACTTAAAACTGACCCGATGGGTGTTGACCTGTGTTCACCACACTGGCTTCCCAGTCTCAGATGTTCACTCGGAACAGTGCGCAGCAAGAATGTGGCGGCAGTCATTCTGCTCATTTATCCGTCCCTGAACGAACTGTGTTCAATCACATTACCCGTTGATTGACTGGCGCAGTTGACCAGCGGATGGGGTGGGGAAGAGAGAGAGAGAAAAAGGCGTCGACACTAGGGGATCGTCTAACAAGGCCAAGTCTTGAGAGGCTGCCTAACAAGGGGTTACAGTGCGTGGGCCGACTCATGAAATGTCAACTGAAATTCCGAAATGCGTTCTCGTTTCGAAAAGATTAATTAAGTCGGGTTGTAAAAATAATCATCATAAGTCGGTTTAAGTCCGTTTATTGAGGGAATGAGGCTTTCTCCCTTGAGTTCCCTATTCATATCGATAAACAGAAATAAAGTCATCAATTACATCAGCAAATGCAAAAACTTTAAAAGTTAGCCGTAAGTGTGAGCCAGGCGCAAACTGCCGCCGCTAAAACAATCGTGATTATATTTACAGTAGTTTCTCAACAAATGAGCATCTAGTCTGCACTTAAAGAATTCGACAGTTTCGGAAAGAACCACCGCATCAGGGAGTCCGTTCCATGCCCCAGTGACCCTGTTAGAGAAGACGTTCCGTCGGACGTCCGAATGAGCCAGCTTCCTCTGCAGTTTGATGGAATGACCTCGCAGACGGTCAGTCCCGGCCAATTCGAAGAATTTATCAAAGTCTAGGACGCACTCATGGCCTCTGACAATCCTGTAGGTTTGAATGAGATCGCCGTGCAGTTGCCTGTAATTTACCTGTAATCATACAGCATAGTTCTATAATAATTCAGTTACTTCAGCATGCCGGCTTTCGAACGAACTACTTCCCGGCCGCATGCAAAAACTAGACTCCGTAAAAAACGACTACTTAAGTGGCATGCATTTTTCCCATTGATTTTCGATGCCCTTAGTAATTCAATTATATTTTGGGGAAAACATGCATGAAAATATTTATTATTTTGCTCATTCGATATAAAATTACCTCCTCTTCCATGTTTATGCTCGAAGGTAGGGTATAATTCGGTTTTCAAAAAGTTTCTAATTGTGAGATTTTTTAATACCCTCAAATGGCCGTTCATAAAACGCCATGTTTCTGCATTTACCAATATGGCTTGTAAAGTTAACACTATGGCTCAAACCCACTACTAAATATTATGAACCTCACATAGTCTGCTTTTAATACCGTAGAGAAATGTAAGGATTTCCGCACGCGGGAAGTATACGGCGTATAGTTTGGAAACTCTTGACCGAGTTAAAAACTATTCGGGAATTGGAAAAGTTTTTGAAAACGGAATTATACCCTTCCTTCGAGTATAAAATTAAAAGAAGACGTCATTTTCTACCGGATGAGCGAGAGAATGAATATTTTTATGCATGTTTTCCATGAACTATAATTGGACTTTTAGGGGCATCGAAAATCAATGAGAAAGGTTCATGCTATTTTAGTAGTCATTTTTTACAGAGTGTAGTTTTTGTATGCAGCCGTAAGGAAGTTCGTTCGAAAGCCGGCATCCTGAGGCAACTGAATTATTATAGGATTACGCTGCACGATGATTAATTTCACAATGCTACTTAATGAATCTTTTCGAAACGAAAACGCATTTGGGAACTTCGGTTGACATTTCATGAGTTAGCCCACCTACTTTACCTCGGTCGTTCTCAGCAATGACTGCTGTCTTCCGTTGTCTTTATGGCACTTTCATTTATGTAGGCTGCTGCATGCAGCGCGAACCGTGACGTGCGTGGCACGCGTAGACCGACCACGCCTGCTTCTGGTCGCCGGAGTCAGGTGGATGAGATAAGAGAGAGTGAGTGCGGTAGATGCTGCGTAGGTCTGCCTTCCGTGCTCAAGATGCCGGTGCTTGGGGCTCGCGGCGGACGTTGTCGTCCTCAACTGCCGAAATGTCGGCCGAGGAAAATAAAAGCCAGAACTCGAAGAATCACCAGTGGCCCAGATGACGTTGGGCTTAGTTGACCCTAGAAACTTTACCCTGTTGAAAGCTCCGCCGATAGGTTCAACTCGGATCTGACCCTCCCAACTTCTGTGAATAGATCTCTGTAAGCTGGATCCCCATTTGCGATTGAGAAGAACGATACATTCCGCATTTTGTCCAAACATTTTGACAGGTGAAACGCATAACCCTGGTTGATGGCCCCTTTGTGGTTCTTCCATTTGCAGTGAAATGGCACCACTTTTCGAATTCTTTCATTTTCTCGGTCACGTTCTTAGCTCCTCCTTTTTTATCACTCCATGCTCCAGTTCGTTCAGTTTGCAAGAAACCCAATCTGCAGTTCCAGTGCAATGATGGGTCTGCCTGTATTGCCATCTATGACGTCTGTAATGGCATCGCAGAATGTCGCGATGAATCCGACGAAGTGGGCTGCGATGAGTGTAAGTCCTTTTTATTTTTTGCGGAGTTTGTGCACCTAGGAAAGGTCAGAAATCAGCGTACTTTCCTTCAGTTTTACCGCACTATACGTTAGAACAGACCGATTTGTTGTCCGGTTTTACGGACATGCAGTTTATGACCTTACTGGAGAAGGGTGTCGAAATCCACGAATGATTGCTAATCACTCAAACCGCCACCAATCAATTGACCAACTATATCTATATTTATAACCAACGACTTTAAGGGAATTGCAAGCCTAAGAGAAATATTAAGGGTTATATTACGTTGTTTCGAAATACCAATCTTTCCAAAAACAACAGAAAATGTCGAAAACGTCAAAAATGGGTGTACTTTAGTAAATTTCGGTTTTGAATGTACGAGATATCTCCAGCCTTCCTGCTTTTGGAGGGTGGTAGGTACGGAAACAGCTTCACGCGTAACTCACAAGTTCATCTCCGACACCTTGTTGCTTTCTCTGGACAAACTGCCGTTATGCGCACATACAATGAGTGACCTAACACCTGATTAGTGTCGAAATTCACGAATGATTGTTAATCACTCGAAAACCGACACCAATTCATGACCAGCGATTGAGTAAATATGGCAGCATGAATAGAATAAAGTTTAATAATAGTGTTTTAGTGCTGTTTACATTAAAATGTCTTCTAAGAGTTAGTGTAATATCTGCGTGTATATTCCAAAACGGTTTCCTGAGAATTCGTTGATTAAGATTAAGACACATACTGAATTGCCAAATTGCTGACTTGATTCACGCACCTGTATATGAAATAAACCAAGTCCTTTATTATGAATAACTCACATCTCCAGATCTCCGTCTTTATTCGAAGATGGGTGAATCTTCGCAATCTTCAGTTCATCTCGAAGGCATACAGTTCGTGACCTGACACATGAAAGGTGTCGGAATCCATGGCTGATTGCTAATCACCCGCAAACCGACAGTACTGCGTGTACCCAATTCATCTGTTAATAAATAAAAACTCTAAGGGGGAATTTAAAACATTGAAGAAATCTCAAAGCTAATGTTACGCTGTTTAGAAATGTCAAGTTTTTTTAGAAAAGCATAAAATTCCGAAAAGGTTAAAAATGGTTCTGGTTGTGTAGACATCAGTTTCCGATGTGCAGAACGTCCGCCCACGCAAAAAATAAGCAATTGGGACAGCAGAAATAGAGCAACGTTTGAAAGCAGTGTTTTGGCCAAGTTTGCATTTAAATATCTGTTAAGAATTAGTGTGCTTTCAGGCTTAGTGGTGTGCCAAAAGTCTACATTTTTACTATAGATGTTAATGTAAAAATGTTAGTGTAGATGCTGATTTTTTGCACTCTGTAAAAAGTGACTGCTTGCGGTAGTATGAGGATTTCTCGTTGAGTTTCGATGCCCCTATAAGCTCAATTATATTTTGTAGAAAACGGGCACAAAAATATTCTTTCTGATACTTATTTTGCAGCGAAACACGTTTTTTTTCAAATCTTACGCATAAATAAAAGTCGTTTTTTGGTTTTAAAAGCTTCTAATTATGTAATTTTTTAAGATTTCGAAGTGTTCATTCGTGCGGCATCAGATCAGCCCTTTGCAACATTTTATGAATCTTCTATTATGTCCTTCTAACGGCATATAGAGATTTGTATATTTATTTGACGGAATGTATACGGCATGTAGTTCGAAAACCCCGATTGCAAACGTAACGGCGGGTGAGCAAAGAATTGTTCGGGAATTGAAAAAAGTTTCTAAAAACTGAAAGGTACTCACTTTTCAAGTAGAAAATTTGAAGAAGACGTAATTTTATACCAAATAAGTACAAGAAAGAATATTTTTATGCACGTTTTCAATAAAATATAATTGAATTTACAAGAGCATCGAACATCAACGCGAAAATGCCATACAAAGTGTAGTTTTTGCAGATGGCTGAAAAGAGGTTCATTTAAAAGCTATCCAAATGTAGGGTGAATATCGAAAGTGAAGGTCACGTTTTTTTTACGCGTTCGATCCGGCTGGGACAGCCTGAATCTAATAGGGCCTGAAGGTCCAAATAGCGTGATGGAAGGCCGAGTTGTCCCCCTAGATGGCTGCTTCCAAAGCCCTTACGTTTAGCGGATAATGCTTGTTATCGTAAAGAAGGCATGTTTTTAGCTGACCTCACACCCCCCTCCCCCCTCCTGCCGCATACTTGACGCGTGTCGGAATTAAGCTGAGTGGCTATGCAATCAAACTAGGTGGCTGAAATGTCCATAAATTGTCTTCTAACACAACGGCGCAGCCCTTCTTTGCGCGCTACCATTATCATAACTGTGCTCCAAATTTGTTTTCCGGTTGATGTTTTGAGAGCTTTGATCAAGTGCAGCCGTACTTGTGCCGTGACTGGCTGGCGACAGCAGATAGACCTGCAATAAACACTTCATCGAAACATCGAACATCAGCGGGAAAATTTCATACAGAGTGTAGTTTTTGCAGATGACCGAAAAGAGGTTCATTTAAAAGCTATCGAAAGTGAAGGTCACGTTTTTTGACGTGTTCTGTGTTCGGACCCTTTTCCACAGGGTCTATCGTTGCTGCAGTAGCGCCGATTTACTCAAAAAAGAACTGGCTTACTTGTATCGCTTTTTTCGACTCAACGTATACCCGGTGAGCTTTGTGAAAAATTGTCTCAGATGCCAGCAACAACCACAAAACGTCGACTCTAACGGAGACAGGGTATCACGGAAATTCTATTCCCTGCCCTACATGCCGAGAATTTCAGAAGCGATCGCTCGACAATTAGATCAATTCGGCATCTCCATCGCCCACAAACCGGCGTCTTCATTGCGCACAACATTATCCCGGGTAAAAGACCCCATACCGAAGGAGCAGCAAACAAATGTCATTTACCGCATTCCATGTGCAAACTGCTCTAGCGTTTATGTTGGGCATACCGGCCGACGACCTGGGACCCGCATTAACGAACATAAGTTGGCCATCCGCCGACGGGACCCCTTGTCTCTCGTATTTGCGCACTCCCTTGAGTGTGATCACCGCTTCAACTGGGAGGGGACCGAAGTGATCGCTAGTGCCAACACCAAATAAGCCCGAGAGTCTCTAGAAGCTTGGCACTCTCGTAACAATAGCACCAACCGCCATGTCGATTTGGACGCTCACTACGAAGGCTTACGTTCATGGTTCGTCGGCTTGCGCCCACCCTAAGACACCAACTGCTAATCCATGTTCGGCCATGTAGAATATCACGGATTCAGCACCCCCACAGAGTGAACCATGTGTGAAACCCCCAACATCTCCCCTAACGTCCGCCAGCTATCCCAACACGTTCTTCACCCCCACGCATAAACGTCTGTCTTGTCGATGTAACCTCGATGTCGCCCTAGCTCCCCAGAAGGATTATCTCCCTCACACTTTTCATTTTCGTCTGACGACGGGTTGGTGTAACCGACTTGAAAATTCACGAGTATACCTCGATTTTCCGACGAGCCTTTTCCTTTTATTATATCCCCTCGGAATGCATACTACCTCCATTATTAAAACATTTCATTTGCAGTTTGGCAACGGGGCCGCCTGGCGTGTTGCTTTTTCGTCCATTCTCGTGTCTGGTTATAAGTTGCTTCATTGAATAAAGTGGACTTGTTTATCAGAGGAATTTCAGGGTTCACCTGATGCCATCGTACAGTGAGTGACCGATCTCACGAAATGTTAACCGAAACTTGGAAGTTCCTTTTCGATTAGGAATAATTACTTAGGTACTGTTATAATCTTGATTATCAAGCGGCATAATCCTATTATGTTTCGGACTCGCCAAGATGTCGGCTTTTGAATGCACTTCTTTTTGATCTCCTACAGCAAACGTACTTGGCAAGAAATGACTACTTAAGTAGTATACATTTTTACATTGACTTTTGATGGCCGTATAAATTCAAATATATTTTATAGGAAACACGCATAAAAGTATGCTTTCCTTTGCTCGATTGGTAGGAAACCACGTTACCTTTGCATTTTATATCTGAAGGAAGGGTGTATTTAGCTTTTAGAAGTTTCTACTTATGAGATTTTAAAGACCGTGCAATGTCCATTCATACAGCATCGTGCATGTCCGTTTGCCAATACTTCTCATGAAATGTAGAGCATGGTTCGCATCCACGGCAATATTTTATGTACTCTACATGGTATCCTTTTAAAGGCATAGAGGAATATATGATCTTCGTTACGCGGAAAGCATGCACCTTGTAGGCTGAAATTTCTAAAAACTAATCCAACGGCTTGTCAGGCTCAAAATTATTCGGACATTGGGAAACTCTTCTAAAACCTAAATATACCCTTTCTTTAGGTGTAAAATGTAAAGATAACGTGATTCTCTACGGAACGAGCAAAAGAAAGCATACTTTTATGCATGTTTCCTATAAAATATATTTGAATTTATACGGCCGTCAAAAGGCAATGTAAAAAATGTATGCTACTTAAGTAGTCATTTCTTGCCAAGTGCGGTTTCTGTAGGAGGTTAAAAAGAACTGCATTCAAAATCCGACATACTGGCAAGTCCGAAACAATTTAGGATTATGCCGCTTACTAATCAATATTGTAACGGTACCTAAGTAAATCTACCTAATCGAATAGGCATTTCCGAATTTCGGTCAACATTTCATGAGATCAGTCACTCACTGCAGGTGCCCAATCGTCCTCCCTCTCTACCATTAAGATGGTCAACAGAGCCACTAAGCCAAATGGACATTACTAAATGGTTCCACTTATGCCGCGCCAAAAAAATCATACATTGGGTCCGACGTTCAACCACAACAAAGCGCTATGTTCTTGAAAGATTACAGTAGGTGAAGTAACTCCTGACTTGCTGTCTGCAATCAAGAACTTTGTTTTCTGTGGTAGGGGGCGCTCACCAATCGTCCATACGGAACTCACTCTTCCGTTGTGCCTTAAGGGCTCTCTCTCGAGCCCAACCAGCAACCGCACAGCGGCACATGATATATAGGCAGAATGGTATTACCGACAAAGACAAGGGAGACTGGAATGGCCATTTCTGGCTTATTAGCCGTCGTCAGCCAGCCATACCCAAGCCCGAAGTGTGGAACACCCGAGCCTCGAACTCGTGACCTGTTGGTTTAGAAGTCCACGCCTCTAGCCACCGGGCCACGAGCCCGTTGCCCTGGCCAACGCTCAAGCGGCCTGAGTTACAAGGCCAGACCTGGAGACGTGAGTTTAATCACATTTGGGTCAAGTTACTCGCCCAAGCTACAGCAACGCCTGGGATCCACCAAATATGGTACAGTAAGCTGCAGTCGCACTTGTTCCGTGTGGCTGGCTGGCGACGGCAAATAGACCTACAATAAACATTTCATTTCCAGTTTGGCAACAGGGTCGCTTGTCGTGTTGAATTTGCGCCCATTCTCGTGTCTAGCTCTAGTTTGTCTCATTCAATAAAGTGGACTTGGTTATCAGAGGAATTTACCGGCTCATCTGATGCCATCGTAGGTGTCCAATCGTCAACAGAGCCACTAAGCCAAGTGGACATTACTAAATGCTTCCACTTATGCCGGGCCAAAAAAACTCACACATTGGGTCCGACGTTCAATCACAAAGCGCTTTCTTCTTGACAGGTTAGAGTAGGTGAAGTAACTCTTGACTTGCTGACTGCAATTAAGAAATTTTTTTTCTATTTGAAGGGATGCCTTGGATGGGGTTGTAATATCGATTATCATACAGCATTAGTATGCCAGCTTTTTAATGCGTTTCTTTCCGACCGCCTGCATTGGCCACGCCCTGTAAAAAGTTCTTGACTGGTATGAATAAGTCCAAACACATTTTACAGAAAACACGCACAAAAATGTCCTTCCTCGTACACATCTGATAGAAAATCACCGCTTCTTCAAATGTCATACTCAACGGAAGCGCATCTCTCGATTCGAAAAAGTATTCCTATTCTCTAATGTTTTGGGAGATTTCGAATAATTTATATTGACCCAACTGTGGAAGACTCGGCGCCTTGGTCGGATTCGAACCCACGACAGTATCTGCTTAGGCAGTCAGCTTACTGTATCGTATTTGGTGGATCCCAGACGTTGCAGTAGCTTGGGCGGGTAACGTGACCCAAATGTAATTAAACTCGCGTCTCCCGGTCGGTTGGCAGATTTTGAATAATTCATATTGACCCAGACGTGAAAACCTCGGCAACCTCAGTGGGATTCGAACCCACGCAGAAAGGGGAAGGCTTCAGTACAGCCAACGCTCTAACCACCTGAGCTACGAGGCCCCGCCGGACGACGCGAGTTTTATCACACTTGGGTCAAGTTACCCGCCCAACCTACTGCAACGTCTGGAATCCACCAAATATGATACAGTAAGCTGCTTGCCCAAGCAGAATTTCATAAGTAATTCACCTAGAATCCACCAGATGACTACCACGATCACGTCATTCATAGGTGTTTTGGCAGAGTTTGAATAATTCATATTGACCCAACTGTGATTAAACTTGCGTCGTCCGGCGGGGCCTCGTAGCTCAAGTGACTAGAGCGTTGGCTTTACCAAAACCCTCCCCTTACTGTGTCGGTTCGAATCTCACCGAGACTCCGAGTTTCGCACAGTTGGGTCAATATAAATTGTTAAAAGTATGCAAAAACACCTATGAATTACGTGAGCCTGGTAATCATCTAGTGGATTCTGGATTGGTTACTGATAAAGCCTGCTTGTAATCCTGCCTTCCAAAAATTACGTGTAATGAAATGTGATTAAACTCGCGTCGTCCGATGGGCTCTCGTAGCTCAGGTGGTTAGAGCGCTGGCTGTACTCAAACCCTACCCTTGCTGTCGTGGGTTCGAATCCCGCTGAGGTCGCCGAGTTTTACACGGTTGGGCCAATATGAATTATTCCCTAATAATTTTTGAATCGAACTGTGGTTTCAATTTCTTTTGGGGTTTCTGAGCTACATCCTATACAGTTTCCATTAGAAGGAATTCAAACCCTAGTCTGAATGACTTACTATACTGACAGCACAGGTATTAGCTAAGAGCCCTGTACCTACTCTGCTAGATTGGTATTTGCACGCAACTGGCCTCATGTTGGCTGCGTCTTAATATTACGCAATTATTCTGCTGTACATGAGGGATTTCAACTCAAATATTCATAACACGAAGATGTGATCACTGGAACAAGAACTTTATTGGCCTGACGTTTCGGATTCTAACTCGAACCCATCATCAGAGACAGTCGCAGATAAGGGTAATAGTGGTACAAGGAATGCGGTATTAATAGCACGTGGCTGCCGTGGGACCATATGTGCACTGTAATTAATACCTCTCGAAATCATCGCTGGGGTCGTAATTAATGCGATGATGGCTTGTCAGTCCGCGTCCGAGTCATTAATGGCCATGTTTTCGCCATCCGTGTTGGATGCTGGCGTTACGATCGCTCTGCAAATTGGCTCACTGTCACTGGGATAACTGCTCGCTCGCGCCCTCCCCACGTGACTGATTCCCTGCCCAGAGAAAATCTTAGCACGTACTATGGTACGGGGAGGTCATTGCGCTTGTTGATAGATTGCGGGCCTGAGAACCATGACTCGAGCAGCTCGCGGCCCACGCGGTTGTCACCCCCTGCGAGGATTTCGGCCTCCTGAAACTTGAAATTATGACCGTGTCCCGTCGAATGAGCCGCCCCCTGAGAGCTAGCGTCTCCATGCCTCACTGCTGATGTGTACTCGGAAATTCGCGTACGCAGTAATCTCCCAGTTTCTCCGACGTAGTTACTTTGTCCGCAACTGCACCAAATCCGGTAAACGACTCCAGACGTTCCCTGCCGTGACAGTGGGTCTTTCGGCTTCATGACTTGGCGCCTAATAGTTGCTTTTGGCCCGTGTGCAGCCCCAACTCGAAGTGGAGTGAAAATATTTCTGTCGACTTTCGGACCGAACCTGAAGAGCTTTGTAACGAAAAATTTACTCAATTAGAATCTAGATCAGGTCTAATTCCCCACTGCTCACCGCAGTAACGCTGCTCCTCGTCCAGTCTGACGTTGGAACCCTCTAGTCTAGTGAAACTCAGTTTCTTCCACCAACTGTCCGAAACCTCCATTCATATATCGCATATTTTGACTTTTCTGTCACAGCCGACGTCCTTCGCAAGTATACTTCTGTTACCGCAGATCGTACGCCGACGGCGCGGAAGGCCGCTGACAATAGTTCTCATCCCGCCTCGCCGCCCAAATTAGATCACCCACCCAATCGCCTTATGCACGATCTCTACCGCCAGAGAAAGCAGGAACGGTCCGAACCTGCTGAAAAGACGAGGACGGCGGCGTCGGCGGCGTCTACTGCCGTTTCTGATGCCAGACCTGGAGACTTTCTCTACGACCTGGACGCCAGTAGCATCGAGAACGAACTTCACTCCCTGCGGACCGGAAGACGTCGCCACGGCACTGCCCGCAGTGGTAGCATTAACAATTTGGCTGAGCACTCCACCTACGAGGAAATACTGCCTCGATCACGTCGACCGGCGTCGGTCTGGCGATTGGATGATCCACCCGTGGAGGAGGAGGCGGGGGACTCCGATCTCTCCCCGTTCCTTATGCGTCTGGTCGACGGCGGCAGTAAGAACAGACAGCACCGGCTGGAGAACCTCCTGGACGCCTATGGCCCTGTGCCCAGTCTGCTTCAACACCAACGGTTCCCCAGCTTGGCGGCGATACCGAAGGAGGGTGAGGAGGAGGAGGAGAGTGCGGTTGAACCGCCCGGCAGACGCCGGCGCTTTCTGCGGCCACCTCCGCCTGCAGTATTGACCGCTCCACCAAAGTCTCGGGGGTTTCGGCTACATCCCCTGCTCGAGAGGTACGCTCGCGCACGATTTCTCCCCCCGTCGGAGGAAGAGGAGCCGGTGGAGGAGGGGGAGGCGTTAATGGAGCCATCTGCGACCGGGACGATGGCGGTCCTGCCGCGAAGCCATCTGCCTCGTCAGCATACAGCCCTGCCTTATCGCGGACGTTCTCGTCGTCGAGGTCACGGTGTAGCATTTTATGAGGAAAACGGTAAGTTCTGTTCTTCAACCGTTTCACACTCAGTCAGATGTCTTCTCCCCGCACTCCTTTACACAACCCGCTTCACCGTTTTCTATTTTCTCGCTGGCTGACCGCAGACAATGCACCCCTGGCTCTCTTGATTGGCTGATCGTGCCCCCCCCCACAACGGACCATGCTTTAGATGCACTGGACCAGCACGAGGACCAGACCAGGGTCTGGCACGCTTTACTGGGTTGTGAAACCATTAGCAGTGATATACATAGGCGATGCGATGGCACGCCTAGATGCAGGCTCGTGCCGCGCCGCCAACCTGCGCACGCTTCCGACTCCGCCATGAAACTGAATCCAGTTGGGAGAGGAGAAGGGAGTGTGGTAGATGCTGCGCAAGTATGCTATCACTTCAAACTAATTCGCACCCAAGTCACCTTTCCTGCGCCCAGCCACACAGTGAACATCGTCGGATTCGACGGTTGAACTGTCATCAGTTGGCTCATTGTCGTACTCTGGTACAGATCGGAGCTCTGAGTTCTTCCCTACGGTCCTTCTTGCTTTGTCGTTTCCGCTGTCTCTCAGACAGTACTCCGCAGCCGCATGGTTAATCAGAAAAAAGTGTCTATCGTCAGGACTTGATATGCCGAGTGTTCATCGCTGGTAGCACGCCTTTGCCCTTAAAACTAACCACGCGGTAGATGTGCTAGAACAACACAGCGGCTAAATCGGAGTGGGATATGCAGTATCGGACATAACGCGCAGGGTGTGGGGGCACACCCGTTTCCAGGTTTGCGCTGTGGTAGTTGGGATCCGGGCCGCCCGGTCAGTGTGTGTGTTGTGGACCAATAGGCGTGGTGGTTTGCGTAGGTGCGGCTTTCGCCGTTCCCGTGGGCGCAGCGCAAGTCGCCGTCCCTGCTGTGGCGCACGCGGTGTCCGTCGTTGGCAACGACGGCCGAACGGTTGGCAGCACGCCTGCATACTTCCTCCTCTAACTCCGGCTGATACAACCGACTCCACGTTGCAATCTCCTGACGTCTTCTAATGGTCTCTCTCTCTCTCCATCACCTTCGGTCGGTGCCACACATGCAAACCCAGTTGGCCCATTAGCCAAATCCAGAGATGCGCTAAAGGGGTCAGGTGTCCCCCAACAGCCGCGTTGATGTCGTCGTCGACGTCGGCTGTATGGACAGAGTTCGCTTAAATTGACCTCCCCTGCAACTTTCGCAGCACATGGCCGAACTGTCTCATTCGGCAAGCACGGCGGTCGGGCTTGGTCGGCGAACGACTGTTGTAGCATCGTTCGCATGGACTAACAACATTGACGAAACACACTCAGTCAAATTGCATCTTTTGAGCGCACAGGCCATCTTTTATCATAGCCATACAGAAGCATTGCCCTCATGAAGGTCTCCTTGATCTTCGGGCCGATTGTACGTCAATTCAGAAGAAGAAGATGTGATCACTGGAATAAGAAATTTACTGGTGTGACGTTTCGGATTCTCACCCGAATCCATCACCAGAGACAGTCGCAGATAAGGCTAGTGGTGGCACAAGGAGTGCAGTATTTATAGCACGTGGTTGCCGTGGGACCGTGCGCGTGCTGTAATTAACAGCTCTCGCAATCACCGCTGGGGTCGTAATTGATGCAATGCTGGTGGCTTGTCAGTCCGCGTCGGAGTCGTTACTTGTCGTGATTCCGTCACCCGTGCCGGATGCTGGTTTGACGATTGTTCGGCGAATTGGCTGACCTGTCACTGGGATAATTGCTCGCCCGCGCCTTCCCACGTGACTGATTCACCTGCTCAGGGAAAATCTCAGCAAGGAATACGGTAGCAGGAGGTAATTGTGCGCGTTGATGATTGCGAGAGCTGTTATTTACAGTGTCGCATATGGTCCAACGGCAGCCACGTGCTATAAATACTGCACTCCTTGTGCCACCAACACCTTTATCTGCGAATGTGTCTGATGATGGATTCGAGTAAGAATCCGAAACGTCAGGCCAATAAATTTCTTGTTCCAGTGATTGCATCTGACCAGCCGGTTGTTTTCCTCCTCCTCTATCGTAAAATGAATGTTCGGGAAGACGGTGGTGAGATGTTATTTGAATGTCAGCACCTGATCCCGTTCGATTACGACGGAGGTATCATCGATATACAGAGCCCAGAATTTCGATCTGTGGTATCGAAAAACCAGCAACTCCAACCGTTGTAGGACCGCCTCGGCTCTGAGTCCCGAAATCGGCGAACCCATTGGCGTTCCTTTCACCTGCTCGTAGATTGTTCAATCGAACGTTAAGTACGTCTTGAGACAGAACTTCAGGTGCTGGATGATTTGGGTGTGTCCGAGGTGATTCTCCGTTTTGTCGTATTTCTCTCATATGAGTAGTTCAATTGTCTCGACTGCCAAGTCCTGCGGGATATAACTAAAACGGGACATGACATAAACGAAAACCATGACATCGCCTGGCAGGAGACTTACTCCTTTAATTTTCTCCAAGAATCGCGTTGACGAGCTGACTGTGGTGTGCGAATCGAGGGTCAGAAACTTGAGACGTCGGAACAGCCACTTTGCCAGTCCGTAGGTTGGAATGCCCTTTAGTGGTACGATGTACGTCTATTCCAGAGGTTTCAGCTAAGATGGACGAAGACCGCGCGCCTGGTTGACTTGACGCTGGGTTTCGAACTTGTCCTCCTGTCCAACAGAGAGTTCGACGCTAGCTGGCAAAAGCAGTCCACTAGTCCGAAAGTCGGATACCTTCTCTCGAAAGCTCAAAGCGATTATTTTTGCTTCGAAAGAGTCAACTTCCAAGCCCTCTTTGACTGCCTTTGCATCTGCTTAAGAGACGACTAATCACAATTCTGCAAAAAGATTAGGGAGGACGACTTATTTCACATTAGTTCTCATACATAGTGAGCTGTCGCTCTTCTGGAAGGTTGTTGTGACGACAACGTCCCCCCCCCTCCCTCTGTTGGAATGGTCTCCGCTCCTAAAATATGCGTTATGAGCCGGTGTAACGGGCTGTCGACTGTTTTTAAACAGCACCTGCAGATTTCTCATTAATGACGGTCCTTTTTAGGCGCCTTGTTCTTCATCGGTCTCGCCATCACCCCAGAGATCTCCGTGGTAGACGAGGGCAAAATGCCCTCTCACCGGCGGTTGTGTCTCCGACATGGATGCCATCCATACAGGTTGGTTGTGTCTGCGCCGTTCGGTGACTGACTCATCTTTCAAATCCGATGCAGCCGCTGTGCATCTCTATTATCTCGATAGCGTCGCAAATCTCCGGCACTTTTGCTGCAGAAATCGTTGCGTTGGGACCCTCGCTGTTTTGCAGTCCGAATAAGTCGAGAAGTTGAAATTATTATGGCAGCCCTGCAAGTCCGGGCAAGATTCTAGGAACATCTACTGCCATCGAAACAGTATTTCCCTCGTCCCAGCTGGGACAGGCCTGTTCCCATTAAATTTTTCGTTCCACAATGGGTTAAAGGCTACCCTCATTTAACAACACTACTTTCGTAAGAGTCAGTAGGCAGTAGCAAGTAATATACAAAGTTGGGTCGCATATAACGTCCTTTCCCTTGTTTGTGTTGTAAATACTACTTAAATAACGCTTACTGCCTGTTGGATCGTTCTGGCTGAGTATAGTCTGTGCGCGTACTGAAATGACTCTCAGCCGGTAACTGCTTTGTCCCTGAGTTGTGCGCCTTTTTACAATTAAACAAATTTGCTAATTCGGCTTTTTCTCTCCCAATTAATCTTCGCTAGAGCCTACCACGAAGAACGGCGTGCGTGAAACTGAAATGTCGGGTGGTACTGCCGCCAGTGACGACACGGCCCGAGGTAAGACTGAGTTTTATATTTTACAAGAAGTTTCCATCACCAGGCTGGTGTTTGTGTCTATTTCGGTAATCTCACAAGAAGTTGTTCCCGACTCTCCTATGGCCTACTTTATTCTATTTTTGCACATCGTCATCTCTTTCGGCTGATTCGCTCCCCCCCCCCGACGTTGTCCCTGCCGGGAAAAGTACTGCGAACAATCCAAAGCAGCCGATGTAACTGATTGAACTTACGCAAGGCCTTCTAGGTAAACGGAGCATGCGACGGCTCAGCTTTCACTTTTACCTTGCCCCAGGCAGAGCGGGAACCCTATTGGCTTACTTACTTAAAGTGTCCTTCTAAACCGTTATGGATACCACGCTCGCGCACATAAGATCTGGCCTTTCAAGAGGGAACTGAGTTCTGCACGGACCTCGCAAGACTTACCCGCTCTTTCATCGGGTGTTTTCACTCCACATTATTTATTTTCCCCTGGGGATAACGTATTCTAGTGTGTGGGAAACCGGCCGAGTTTCCGGCTGCATGCTGCATGTTCTATTTTTTGAATTATAAAGTCCAACCTCTGTTGTGTAGTCTCTCCGCCCTGTTTTAAAATAGCCGTGGGCTAGAGTGTTGCATAGTCACCCTTCAATAAATCAAAACCATGGATCAATGGAAATAGGGGTGTTTTGGGCGAAGCCAACAAAAATCCACAAAAATACCTATTTTACTAAAATAATACCAATCAATTGTAAAGCGACCCAACTCTTATTTAAATGAGTAAATAACCATAACGGGGAAACCGCACGAAACAAAGTGCATAAGACAATCAAACGACTAGATGCCACAGATGGCTAGCTCAATAACATTCACGAACACAGGCCGTACAACCAATGTATCCAAAGGAATAAGTTGCTAAAATCGGCACAGAATTCCAAAGTTTCACCCAACATAGTCTCAATAAGGTTGTTTCAATAGATCGGAAGTAAAAATCTTCCGAATGTGTGACTAAGACCCGGTAGTGCAGGTAGCCTTGCGCGGTGCAATTCTAACATCAATTAAAAACAAGACGAGCGTTCAACTAAATGGAAATGAGAAGAGAGATATGGATAGTCATTTTTTGTCAACTGTGTCTCAATGAAGAGTTCTAACCAACTCTGTAATATCTGCGCTCTAAGCTGCCTAGCACGTCACCGTTTCAAGTGCGCAAAAAGTTCCAGTACGTCAATACGGCCTACCCGACGAAAATAAGTAGCAACAATGTTAGCGCTATTTCATGGCTGTGTTGGTTGGGCTGCACTCGCCCAACTTGAGAATTGCCTAATCAAAATCGTGACCAGAAGTATGCAAGCACGCAACAGCAAAAAGTAAAAACCCTATCAACAGATACAATGGACCAGAATAATTATTTATGGCTCCCTGGTTTACATCAACCAGTCATAACCGAGCCCGGATTAGTTGGAATTCGAACACAAATCGGTTAGAGCTAAACATTCTACCATTTAAACCACGACCCCTCAAGAGTTCTGCGCTCGACACACGTCAGCATCTGCCACTACCTCGTGGTAGTAAAGGATGTTTTCTCCGCTAGTGAAGCGTTTTTCTGTCGAAGGTCCGACCATGTTCAGTAGGATAGCATTCTGTGGCAGGGCCTCTGGTATGGACACCGACCGTCATTGTCCGCCAACAGGGGTTATAACACGTCTAAGCCACTTTACAGGAATGTATCCAAACCAGCAACGCATAGTTTGTTTGTTGGAATAAAAACTGCAGATCTTATAGCCCGTAATTTATGTAAGACCTCTAAGGCAGAGAGAGAGAGAGACCAAAATTAAGAGACGTCTACAAAACAACTCGATCTTTTTTCGAGAGTAGGTGTGCTGTTTGTTTTGACCACTCAGAAATTGGGCTATGCCAGAAGCACAACCATTGCTTCTGGTGTAATCTGACCCTCGGTGCGGTCCACGCCGCCGTTAGTGTAGATTGGTACACACAGTGGGGCCGGGATGTGCGTGGCACGCGCAGACGGGCTGTGGGGCTTTCTCAGTCGACGTGTCCAGCTGTCATCACCAGTTTATTTAAAGACTCAGAAAAGGTGGAAAATAAGAGGATGAGGCCGACATTGGGGAATTTATTGCCAGAACATTATAATAAGTCATAATTATCACGACACGTTATCAGCCGTGAGTTGGAATTTTTCGAACTGACGGGGCAGCTCAGGCCCTGAAGTGACTGAAGGACTAAGCGCGAGACTTTAGTGGTTCATTCTTAATGTGGCCGTTATGACACTCAACTCGTAGCAAAGTGACTGGAGGAGAGAGCGTGATGCATGCTGCGCAAGTCTCCGGTGTTGTGCGGACTCCGTGGGTTATGCGGTAGACGTCTTCGCTTGCGGCTATCGAAGCCGGACAACCGCACCCCCTTGTATACTCCTGTAATTCGTTTAGCCCGCGCCGTCTGAATCTAGGTTTTGAACGTCGGGTCTGGGGCCACTCACTATTGAGCTCTCGTGATAGCGTTTGGAACCCGTCCACTTTTTAGATATTTTTTACTTAAATAAGCAAAGTTAAGAGTAGTAGCTCAAGTAACTGAGAACTGTGAGGTCGGCGGGGTGCCTTTATTCATGATCCGACGTTTCGGACACTTTTCGAGGGTGGGTGCAAGATAATGTCCACACGCGATCAACTGAACATGGACAGCAATTAACGACTGGCGCCACCAGACCATCATCCCCTGCGCAGGTTAATTTACTAAAAGACCGATGCAATTAGGCCATTGTCGCCAGCCCGGCGACAGGTGCACGGCAAACCCAGCCTTAATCGTGAGGAGTTATGGGAGCATTCAGAAAGATCACACGACTGCAATTATGGCCTGCTTTGGTGGACATTTATATAAGTGACGAAGAAGAGTCGAGCACCGGAACACTTTGTTTATTGTCCTGAACTTTCAGACTCGTACAGGAGTCCATCGTCACAGGTAGTAGCAGCAACAGAACGAGCGACAGTTATAAGGCATTTAGGCCAATCATCGACCGACGGCGCAAGACTAGGGGTGACTGCGTGGGGCTCTGTACGCAGGCGCCTGATCGATAAATCGACTGACTGAGTTCTCATCTGAGGCCCAGACTTCAATCAATTCTCGACCTGTTTTGTTTCCGGCGTGGGCGACTGCTTTGCTAGCTTCGCAGTTTAACTCACGACCAACTTCGTAGGTGTGGGCGGCCACTTGTGATAATGCGTCGCCTCGTCGCACAGCCAGCTTATGTTCGTGTATGCGCAATCCGAGCACGCGCCCAGTCTGTCCGGTGTAGTTACAAGTACAATTTTGACATGGAATGCGATACACTACTCCAGATTACTTTTTAGGCTTTAACCGGTCTTTGATTTTCACGACCATATTGCGCATGGTGGCTTTGGGGCGGTGTGCAGTTCTAACACCTTGCTCCACAGCAATGCGCTCGGTCGCTTCTGAAACGCCCTATCCATTCACTGCCAAGTTAGGGGAGCATTCAGACAGATCGCACGACTGCAGTTATGGCCTAATTTGGTGGACATTTATATATCTGCAGTAGTCTGTGTTAGGTATGCAAAACAGAGGGGGCTGGTCGCAGGGAGGGCGTGAACTGAGCACAGTGTTGAGCACAGGTGATACGTCTTAGAAGAGGGAGCAGTCTACATAGCACAGAGAAACGCCATAGGTTGAGGGGGTAGCCAATCAACTCCGTATGACCTTGAGCGTCTGCCAGTCACGCGCATGTCGCTTGATGTCTGGAAAAATTCATTACAGTATGCACGTTTCCAGTCTACGATAGTGAGTAGTAGGCCTTGTTGTGCAAAACTTCAGACGCGCGTCGTGGACCCCACGTCCTGTCAATTTCGACCGACATTATTGAAGCTCACATGGCAGCGGTGTTCATTGATCAGTCTTGGTTACAGGGCAGAGATTGGCACTGCCGTTTAACTTTCCCAAGGCCCCAGCCTAGAGCCCTCTCAGCTGCTCAAACAGCAACAACAATCAAGAAGATTTATCGACATAGACAAGGTCATTTCTGACTAGTTGAAGTCCAGCTGCAGGTTGGGAAACACCTAGGTTGAAACTGTGGTCGTTTTGCCACAGATAGTCTGATTTAAAACATAGTACTTTTCTAAAATTTCAAGTCAATTACTAAAGGCGATTTTGGCAACCTATGCCCGCCCCTCCGCTCATAAGTCTGAAGCTAACCATTTGGACATAGCCTAACCAGTCAAACTCGGAATGTCATTCTATCACTTTTAATTTGGTGCTGCGTATGGCATTCCCTCCTTAGTTTACCAAATGAATCGTTTTAAGCGCTTAAAAGTCTCTTAGGGTCTGCAACCTGTCGTTTTTTCAGGCCCTTAGGTTATACATTTGGGCATTCTGGGCGTGCCTACCTTCCGTTATCGGTAGGTCGATTAGGCGCCAGACATCGGTAAATCGATTTTTAGTCGTGCACATTTACTTGCATTTTCATTCTCTTGGCCATTTTCTTCTCATTCCTGGAACTCTTGCAGACAGTCCATACATTTCATGCCCCTTTCTGACTACCGTGATGTCCCTAAATTATGCCTCACTCGCATGTTGCAATATTTCGCCAGTCCCTTCTACCCGTTTTAAGTAGAGTTCTTTTCACCAAACTGGCCCCGGCCCAAATGGGTCTAATTTCCCTTTCCCTTCTTTCCTTAATATTGCCCTGCCACTTGATCCATTGGCCACTCCGATCTTTTTAATGGTTTTCGTCACTTTTACCTTACTTCCTTACACCCTCCTCCTCCTCTCTCCGCCTCCTATCACTTTGATCTCAGTCCGGTACTCCTGGCTGCCTTGCCCAGTTCACATGTTTAATTTGGTTCCTGCCCTACGATTTCTCACGCTTTTCCTCTCTCGCCTTCCCCGGGCGCTTTAAAGCCGTGGAGTCCAAGAGTATTGCCGACGGTGGCGGCGGCGGCGGCGGTGTCTCCTTCACCTCCTCATTCGCCGCACGAAATCGCACCCAGTGGCACATCGCTGCCATCCTGCTTGCCGTTGGTCTGGGCCTAATCTCCTGTCTGTTCGGCTTCCTGGTTGGTCGCTGTCGCAAGGACACCTGCGGTGGCGCTCGCTCCAAGGCCGTGGCCGCGAGTCGCCTCCGGCGTCGAATTCGAGACAGTCGACAGGCTGCCGCAGCAGCGGCGGGACTTGGCAGTGACCTTGAGAAGAACGGCCTCCTGACGGGACTGCAGTTGTGAGGCCGGCACCGCGCCAGCATGCCCCCCTTTCGCCCCTTCTTCTTTACATCCTTGCATTTTGGCACTCTGGCTATATTATAGTTGTGTGTTTGCTTATGACTAAACAACCATTCTGTGCATCCCGTGGGGAACTATTCAGTGACATCCTAATGCATAATACCTCTACCCATACAGCATTTGTGAGGCCTTGTCTTGTGCAATCATTCCACCATCTCGCTTTGTGATAACGCTCCATGTTGTGTCTTTTCTCGGAGGCATTTCCTCCTACTTTTGTTCCTTTTTTGCCTTTATATACACCTTCCCGTGTTTGTGAGCCCCTGTCTTCCCTTCTTGATTGGAGGGTGAATTTTCGTCCGTTGCTGGGACGCCTGCACTTGGTAAATAAACCAGCCAATCGCCATGGTTGTGTGGGCAACGCTATATAGGCTAAGTTCGTTCCCGTTGGGTTCGCATTACGCTCCAGGCAGGCCCATTGACGCGTTTGAAGCTATCATGATGCGCTCAAAGTCTTAACTTGAAAGGTTGCCAACTGACGGGATAACCTCGCAGTGTTGTGTGTTTGTGTGGAGCGGCCGGCTGGTGGTCTAAGAGTCAGGCTTCAATGGTTCCTTCTTACTGTGGTCTTTATGGCACTCCCACTCCGAGCCAGGTGCGACGACACGCCTAAGTGCGGCTCCGGCCGTGTCATCCACCCTTTTGTTGTAGGTTGAACACCTGTTCATTTACTGTGTGGGCCAGGCGGTGTGGAGTGGAACGCCAAGGTGCGGGCCCAACCGCACCATCTGCGCCCTCCCCCTCCTCCGGTCTTCTTGACTGTGTCTTGACACCGGGCCCAGGTGGGGGAGGAAGAGAGAGTGCGGTTGATGCAGCGCAAGTCAGCATTCACTAAAAACTGAATTACGCGCCTGCTTCACCTTCCTGTGGAGCGCATGGTGGACATCGTCGGCAACGACAGTCGAACTGTCGTGTTAAATCCAAAGACTGCTCATCACTGTGTGTTGCAATCATGAGGGCACCTTAGGTACAGTAGATCTGATGACTCCTGTTGTCATAGGTTAACGCAAGAAAATCCGGCAGAAGCCCAACAGGCGGCCACAGTGAGAAATCCTCTCTAGGTGGGTCGGGTACAACGGGATGGCGGTTTTGAGGGGAAGAACGGGCGGGGCAAACGGCGAAGGGCACTTGATTGACAGCTGGAGGCCGAAAAATGTTGAAAATCGCAGAAAAATAAATATTTGTTTTAATGAAGTCAAAAATAGGGTGAAGATGGCGCGCAAATAGGGAAAACCGTAGGCAATGACCAATCGAAGGTGGGCTGGCCGGGGACGTGATGTGATTGGCCGCCGGGGCGAGTGAACCTGAACCGCCAAGCGGCTAACCAATGGGATCATTGGAGCCGCACTTGAAAGTGGTGTGCGTTAGATAGGCACGAAGCATACGATGCGTAAAGGGGACGCGGGCGGACAGCGGTGTACTGCGGTTGGGTAAGAGTATTTGAATAAACCGCTTATGACAATTGCGTCACTTCCCAGCCCCTTACTGACCCCCTCCTCAACCCCTCCCTATTTGTTATGTCGGTGATCTCCACCGCATGCACCGTTTAATACGCATAACGCAAACAATGTTTAGGATACCTGGACGTACTCCAACACCATCGCACCAACCTACAGCAAGTCGGCAAACTCCCGACCTTAGCGGTCGCTGTTTTACGGGATTTGTAAGTATCCATGGTGAGAGCAGTTTATAGGCCTACGTAACCCTTTTAAGTTTAAAGTTATCCGCCGTAACCCAAATTGGTGGACCAGGCGTGGAAGTACAGGTAGACGAGACGCTCATAAGTCGCCGCAAACATAACAGGGAACGACCGCGGCGGCAGTTGTGGGTCGTAAGTATGTACGATACACGCAGGCGGAAAGCCCTATTTGAGCAGATTAACAACCGCAGCTGGGAGGCCCTGAGGCCCGTCATAAGGAAGTGGGTGGCTGCTGGTAGTGTTATCGTAACCGATGAGTGGAAGGGTTACACCCGCCTACCGTCCGAAGGTTATACGCACTGCACTGTCAACCACCGTAGGGGCTGCTAAGCCTCCGGAATGAGGTAAGGTGTGCTAAGCAGTTGAATAACTGTCATCCAAAGGGCTGCGTTAGCTGATAGGTGCCTATGGATCACTAATGGGGGAATTGAACGGACGTTGTCTGTTGGATGGGTGGCTGTCTCTAGCAGTGGTAACGTAGCCATCATCGCACGGTAAGGATTGCGACTAATCGACCAACCTTGGAGGCTTGGTACGTGAACATATTTACGTACGTAGTATAATGCAATGACGTCCACTAAGCCTCGTCGATAAACCCTTGTAGGTCAGGAAGGGAGTGATTACGGAAGGCCTTTAGAGCGGGAACTGGGAGGTACGTAGAGACTGTCTGAGGCCGCTGCCGGAATCGCTGTAGCTGGTAACGGGCGATATGAACCACCCGCGGGGAAGGGCATATCAGGTCAACTAACAAAGCCGGTTGGGAGGGACAGTAGACTGTGAAGCAGGCTGAAATGGAAACAGCCGATGGAGGAATTGTCGATTGCGATAAGCTTGCGTAAAGGGGAGCGGGACTGCGGGGATTGATATTGGGACGGCGTAGATTACAGGCCTTCGGAAAGGGGGAGGGGGAAAGGCGTGGGCTAGGCGGTAAGGGAGCGGTAGGTGTGTATGTAAATACCGCAGTGGTCTAAGATCCGGATGCCTGTGGTAGCAGCTACCCCAAAGTGACAGACGTATGTTTGGACGACGTAGGCTGTAAGCCTTTTAGTTTGGGGGGGGGGTGGGGGTGTTGCAGAATATGCGGAGGGAAGGCCTGTAGGGTCAGGTATACGCCCAGAAGTTGAAGCCGGGCTGGAAACGTTAGTAGACAGCTGGCGTAAGTGGTAGTCTGACTGACGAAATGGGAATGCTGGCAACTCAGTTAGGTGAACTCCGGAATGCGTGGGAGGGGAGGCAAGTGGACCATGACCGGAAACCGAGAGATGATGACGGGAAACACTACGTAAACCACGAAACCGGCAAACGGGCAGTTAACAGCGCAACTGCAGCGCATGGGAACTGCCCAGAGGTGGTTTAGAATAGGAGAAGTTTGTGTGCGTAAATGCATAAAAGTGGCATTGTATATTGGACATAAATTTTAGGCAACAGGGGATGGGAACTCCACGTAAACCCTACGGAGTCGGGTTGCTAGGTGTGTTTGAATGTTTCTTTCTGGCCGTGGAGGCCACAGGTCTTCCATTACGGCTACCTTACGTACTATTGTTTTGCCGTCGCGGCAAAAAAAATACCACAAGCACACCTACTGAACAAACAATAGTACGTAAGGTAGCCGTAATGGAAGACCTGTGGCCGCTTATTTGGCACCGGTCGAAAATCCCTATGAAAAAATCCACCTAAACCGCGTTCCCTGGAGCATTGAATCAGTAAACAAACAACCATCCTTAAAGGGGAATTTGAGTTGAGTTTTTAAATTAATGTTCTCTAACATTTCCACTGAAAACTAGAGTTTTGGGAATTTCTGTCATTACAAATCACCTAAACGAGGCTGACTGTAAGGGTGCTTAAGGAAGGGAGGGCATTGAAGCAGGAAATTAATGAAAAATTGGCTGTCTATTTACGTTTAACGCAGCAGAAAGTCAGGCATGGCGATGGCCTGGTCAAGTTTCCTATAGTGGATTATCCATTGTAATTATCTAGCCAAAATCGAGCCATGCTTTTATCGAAGGATTCGTCTATGCCTTCCGCAACTTTCTTTTTTTGAAAGGCGCAAAAAGATAAATTGGGTTAAGATCGGGGCTGTTGGCGGGAATAAAAGCCAATTTCGGACCGCATGCACAGAGGCTGGCTGAAATTTGGATTATAGCTGCAAGGGTTACCAGATTCATACCTCTGGAGCGATGGACAGGAGCATTATCGTGTAAATCCATGGTACCCATTCGGCCTCGGTGAATGTCTTGGGCGAAAACATCCTTGGCGATTTTGGTGAATACCTTGCTGTTTACGGTGCCCGTAGTCGGCCGCCAGACTAGCCGCTCTCCAACTTCGAAAGCCATTCAAACTGTAAACCATTGACAGTCTATGAGGGTTGCCGTGTACGCAGTACGCCTTTTTGGAAACTTCTTTCCACATCTGCTCATTTGGGTCGACTTCGTGGGCTTATCCAAAAATAAGGCCGCGGCGTGGAGGTTGTAGTGGACAGCCATAATGGCTACGTCGCGCCTCTCGCTAGCGGCCACACCTACGTCCTAGCGACAGCCTGCTATGGCACGCACGCCCGCCCGACTTCCAGTTGTCTCGTTGCAATTCACTGTCTGCACCACGCATTCGGTAAATTCTCTGCGTGCACCATGCCATGCTTGTCACTACCTTCGCGTGGGCTCGGAGCCAATCAACGCAACTCCTATCGCTGATTGGTAAGACAGGCGGGAACATTCCAGAACAATAGAGTAAACAATCCGCAACGACACTTTTGCCGCGGCGACCTTCGACGACACAGGGCTCGTCGCTCCCGTGAACGCCGCCTCCGCGGCGCGGGACGCATCCTCGTCCGATTGCCAACTTTCACCTTCACTATTCTGTACAGAATAGAGTGTCCTAACCAAATGGCGTCCTGCTTCTAACAACTTGGGATGTGGCCTGAAGTTGTGGCGTATTGAGCGTACACCATCACCGCTTAGCCGCTACAAGGTTAATGCTATCCTACATTCCTTTTCTAATGATGTGCCTGGAGAACATCGGCAGATTGTCCCGGCGAATAGCTCAGTAGAAGCATAATGTCACTTTAGTGTACGACGCACGAGATCGTCGTCTTGCCTACTTATGAACAGTCTTGACCCCCCCCCTGCTTATTTCTAGGCACGGTGCTATCATTAATAATTCGTCGCAGAATGATCTTATTAATACTGAAAATACATGCTAACGACCAGCGCGACAACCCTTCCGCAGCCAATTTCCGTATCCGTTCGTA